AAATAAGAGATAGTGCTGGAAGACAAGACTCCCAGGTCACAAAGGACTGGGGAAGAACAAAGAGCATACATGTATATATGAATAGTACCGGAATTAATGAAAAAAAATTAGATGAGAGCTAAAATAACGAGTACTTGCCAACATGCATAGAAGCAAAAGGAAAGCCCAGCGATGCACAACACATAAAATCCAAACTTGGAATGTGTAAAGTATAAATCAAAGTTAGCTTGATAGTATAAATCAAGTCATAGACCTTCATAATTCTTGGGGTTTGTGAACTAAAGTGGACTAGAATAAGATACTGTATTATTAACCAAATACTTACAAAGGATTTTTATTTTGAAAATGAAAAAGCAACAGGAAGGCAAGACATAGCAGAAGCTGTTACGGGGCCATAATGCAAAGTTTTATTGAAAAATATCAATGTATTTATACATTTATTTATTTGTTTGATTTCTATACCACTCAACTGACCGATGGTCACCCTGGAAATCAATCTGATTTCATGGACAGCCTATTAACATAACTATCATTTTACGTCTATGCTGCCGTTACACTTGCGGAAGGAAAAGAAAATGAAAGCTTTAACTCAAGTGGGTAGGAAGAAACCGACTCCACTTCAAAACAGGATGGGCAGATAATTAGGAGTGACTGAAATGAAAAAGTAGGAAATCGGAAACTAAACACAGCTGGAGAATTTGGCCTAGGAGATATTAATAAAACTGGGGACGGACTGACAGATTTTTGTAGAGCCAGTTATTTTTTCCCCCTTAGAAATACATATTTCAGGCAACCAAACATGCTTGTCTATATTGGCATCACAGAATGATGGAGTTGGAAGGGGCCTAAAAGGCCATCCAGTCCAACCCCCAGCTCAAGGCAAGAATCCAAGCCAAAGCAAATCTGACATGTGGTTGTTCAATTTTCTCTTGAAGGCCTCCCGTCGACATGTGGTTGTCCAATTTTCTCTTGAAGGCCTCCCGCGTTGGAGCGCTCACCACTTCTCGAGGTCATGGGTTCCATTGTGGTACTGCTCCAGTGACACAACCCATGAACTGCCAATATGAAAAAAAACACCAGAGTAAAGCCGAAGACAAAAACTGAAACCACCCCACCGACAAAATGCAATCGAAATCAAGCTCTTGAAGAATTCGAAGACCATGCCAAGAAGAGATGTCCAGTATATGACTAATCTCAGTTGCCCCCCCCACAAACCAGAGGAATAGTGGATTGAAACCAGAGAGGATGCCTAAAATCATGTTGTGCCACGGGACTGGCCTCTTGTCAGTGGCGACTAGCCAGGGCCAATTTCAGGGTGCCTTCGCTGCCTTGCCTCGGAGTTGCCTGCACCCTAAAAACCACCCGAGGGAAACCTTGTGTCGCTGAGAAGCCTGGCATCCTTCGCCCTTCCACGTGTCACGCTGCACATGAGGATGTCACCACTCTCAGAAAGACGGTGTTCGGGGGGGGGAGCAAACCGCCCTAATGGGATGGCGCATATTTGGGAAAGGGGGAAGAAGAAAACGGAAGGTGCGGGGGGGGGAACAGGGCAGAGGTCCCAGGGCCAAAGGCCGGGCTGCCCGGGGCGGAGCGGCCGCGCGGGAGGCGGGAGCGAAAGTGAAAGCGCCCCGGTCG